CACCATCACCATCACCATCACCATCACCATCACCATCACCATCATCATCATCATCATCATCATCATCATCATCATCATCATCATCATCATCATCATCATCATCATCATCATCATCATCGTCATCGTCATCGTCATCGTCATCAACATCATCATCATCAAGCTCCACAGAAGGTTCCAGTTTGTTGCGCAGTCCGCATGGCGGCGCCGCCTCATTTTGGCACACTCCTCACACGTTTCATTGCCCCATAGGGAGCTACCTAAGGTCCAAGTGGCGCAGTCCGCATGGCGGCGCCGCCCCATTTCGTCACACCCCTCACACGTTTCGTGGCCCCATCGGGAGCTCCACCCAAAGTCTCAGAGGCGCCGTTCGCATGGCGGCGCCACCCCATTTTGGCGCACCCCTTACATGTTTCGTTGCCCCATAGGGAGCTCCACCCAAAGTCCCAGTGGCGCAGTCCGCATGGCGGCGCCGCCCCATCTTGGCACACCCTTCACACGTTTCGTGGCCCCATAGGGTGCCCCTCCTACCATCCGCATAGTGGCTACTCCACCGACGGCTCCAGTGGCTACGTTCGCATGCGCCCACCGTACCTATTTCGGCACACCCCTCACACGCTTCGTGGCCCCATCGGGAATTCCACCGCCAGCCCCAGTGGCTGCTTTCACATGCGCCCACCACACAATTTTTGGCACACCCCTCACACGCTGCGTGGCCCTACAGGCAGCTCCTCCGAATGCGTTGCACACAACGATGGTACTCACAACTGCAAATGATTGGGTCCTTCGCCAAGCTCACTGTTCAAAATCATCCTCCCTCCTCCTCCTCCCATTCTTCTCGTCTTCATCCTCCCTCCTTATAAACAAGAACAAACCATCCTCGTCGCATCCTCAATCGTATCGATGGGGCGGTCCAATAATTTCGCTTGAGACTTCATCACCGCCAGAGTTCCTACAGCATTTCCGGGCTCTACACGGATGGAGGGCAAGTCTATTTCATATTCAGCTTATCGCTCGAAAAACAGTGATATCGAGTGTGCCGTACACTTGTGGCTTCCAGCAGCTGCACAGACGGAGGGCAGGTCGGCTTTCAAACCCGACTCTCGCCTGAGGCACCACCTCATGCCATGATTCTATTGCCTGGAAGGTTGCATCTCGGATGGGAGGGTCTTCAACATCTGGTTCGCAGCTCGGATGGAAGAGTCTGCAACATTTGGTTCTTGTCTGGAACTTCCTTGCACCTTTTGGTCATGATCTCGGAACTTCCAGAATTAGCCCTCACGAATGGAGGGGGGGGGAGGTTTTCAGAATCTGATAGTCGCCAGAGTTTCCCCGAACCGCATTGCACGAAACTTTGAAGATTCCAACAATTACATGTACATATGGGGGTGCTTGATATTCAAAACATGTTTATTGCCTGAAGACTCTCCACATCTCATGGTGATACGGCTGGAAATTCCAACACGTTCGCGGACGGGCGGAGTCGGGCGGAGTCTCTGATATTTAGAGCTCTCGCCAACTGCTTTTCCGTACATCATGACCGTATGTACGCATGTCTGTATGTATGTATGTATGTATGTATGTATGAATGTATATACTAGAACCATCGCGCGCGCTTCGCGCGCGCTCAAGTTCTAGCTAGGATCATGATCATCGTCATCACTCTCATCCTCATCCCCGTCATCTTCATCGTCATGGTCACCTTCACCATCACAACAATTATCATTATCATCAGTATCGTGATCACCGTCGCCATCATCGTCATCGTACTTTTCAACACCATCATCCGCATCATCAACATCTTGTTGGTCGTCGTCGGCGTCGTCGTCAGCATAATCATCGTCATCGTCATCATCATCAATGCCATCGCCGTCATCATTCCCGGTCAACTGTAATCCCCTTACCCTCCTCCTCTTCCCGTTCTCCCTCTTCCCATCATCTTATATTCATCCTTTTCCTCGTCGGCGTTTCCCTGCAAGGGATCCCTGTTCCTTCACCTCGTCCTCCTCCTCCTCGTCCTCCTCCTCCTCCTCCTCCTCCTCCTCCTCCCTGCCTTCCCCGCTCTTCGGTGTGTCCCTCCTTGTGTTCCTTCACCTACCTTCCCTCCCTCCTCCTCTCGAGCCCTCTTCATCCTGCGCTCCCCTTCCCTCCTCGTCCTCAGCATCCCTCCCCGAGCCAGAGAATCAGAGAACAAGATAATCTTACAAGAACCATGTCCCTCCTCCTCTTTCCCCACTTCGTCCTCCTGATCTGCCTCCTCCTCCTCCTGCTCCACTTCCTCCTGCTCCTCCTCCTGCTCCTCCTCCTCTCCCACCTCCTCCTCCTCCTCCTCCTCCTTGTCCTCCTCCTTGTCCTCCTCTTGTCCTCCTCCTTGTCCTCCTCCTCCTCCTTGTCCTCCTCCTTGTCCTCCTCCTTGTCCTCCTCCTTGTCCTCCTCCTCCTCCTCCTCCTCCTCCTCCTCCTCCTCCTCCTCCTCCTCCTCCTCCTCCTCCTCCTCCTCCTCCTCCTCCTCCTCCTCCTCCTCCTCCTCTCTTCTCTCAACGCACCTAATACACGGGTGCCTAGTGAACCGCGTGCCGGGAGCCTTTTTGGAAGCATTGTGGCAATCTCTGGAGCCTCTCCGGGCCTTCCTTTGGAGTCCTTTGGGGCATTTGTTGGCCCGTCTGAGGGCCCATTGTCAGCCGTTCCGGGTTCCTCTTGGCTTGTCGTGGGGACCTCAGCCCGTCTTGGGGCCCTCCTGGGGCCCTCCCCGACCAGGTAGGGATCCTCGGGTGGCCCCCTCGGGCTTCCTGGGGGCTCTCTTGGACCGTCTTGTAGCTCTTCTGTGCCGCTTGAAGCTCTCTTCAGCCCATCTTGGGACCCTCTTTGGCCTCTGGGGCAGTCTGGGGCCCATTTTGGTCACCTCTTGGGCCGTCGCGACCGCTGGTAAAAACTGAACAGCGAAGCTCCCATAAATGTATGTTTTTCCATCGGAAGCGTTTGATCCTTGCTTGCCTTTGGAGGGCCTTCTCAGCGGCCTTTTGGACAGTCGTGGGGGGGTCATTTTGGGTCTTTTTGTGGCCCGTCTGGGAGCCCATTTCGGGTAGCTGAGCCGTCTTGGGTAGCTGAGCCGTCTTGGGGCCCTCATGGAGCCCTCTCCGACCATGTAAGAATTTTCCTGTAAGGATTTTCCGGTGGCTCCCTCGGGCCCCCTGGGGACTCTCTCGGGCTGTTTTGGAGCTCTCTTGTGCTGCTCGACGCTCTCTTGAGGCTGTCTTGGAGCCCTCTTGGGGGCCTCGTGGACCGTGTGGCGCCGATTTGGGGAGCCTTTGGGCCCGACGTGGCCGCCGATGGAACAAAGAAGCGAATATCACAGAAATCTACGTTTTCCCACAGGAAATTCTAGTTTTTTTGCACCCCGGAGCCTCGTCAGCGGCCTCACGAAGCCTTTTTTGGACCCTCTGGGAGCCCAGTTCGGCCGTTCCGGGTCCCTCTTCGCCCGCCATGGGGACCTGAGCCCGTTTTGGGGCCCTCTGGGGGCCCTCTGAAGGCCCTCTCCGACCATGTAGGGATCCTCCGGTGGCCCCCTCGGGGTTCCTGGGTACTCTCTTGGGCCGTGTTGGGGCTCTCTTGTGCTGCTCGAAGCTCTCTTCAGGCCGTCTGGGGGCCCTCTTGGGGGTCTCTTGGGCCGTCTGGGGCTCATTTTGGGAGCCACTGGGGCAGTCGCGGCCGCTGGTAGGACTGAACAGCAAATGTCAAAGAAATATACGTTTTTCCATCGGCAATACTTGATTTTTACCCTTGGAGGGCCTTCTCGGCGGCCTCTTGGACCGTCTTGAATGCTTCGTGGCCGTCTGGGAACAGTCTTGGGCTGTCTTAGAGCGCTCGTGGCCCGTCCATAAGCCGTCTCAGTGCGCTCTTCAGCAACCTTCCAGACTACCTGGGGCGCCTCTTGGGCCAGCTTGGGAGCCTCTGGGAGGTCCGGGGCCCCTTCTGAACCCTCTTGGAGCCCTCAGGGCCCCCGTCGGCCCCGCATACGAACCAAAAGCAACAGTTCTGGGCCCTCCCCTGGCCTACTCCTACATACCTATACGACCACCCTTCAGGTGGTAAGGAGGTTGTGGTGGGGGGGGAGGAATGGGGGGAACCAACACCTGACTCAATCGATCTCACTATCGATCTCACTCAACGGGACACCGCGGGACACCACGGGACACTTGTAGGTCTCACCATCGATCTCACTCAACAGGACACCACAAGACACCAAGGGCCACCACGGGCCACCACGGGACACCGTGGGACACCTCTCGATCTCACTATCGGTATCACTATCGATCTCACTATCGATCTCACTTACCGGGACACCATAGAACGCCACGGGAAACCTCGGGACACCACATCGATCTCACTATCGATCTCACTCAACGGGACACCACAGGACACTTGTCGATCTCAAAATCGATCTCACTATGGATATCAATTTTTGGGACGCCGCGGGACGCCATAGGACACCTCGGAGCACCACATCGATCTCAGTATCGATCTCAGTACCGATATCAATATCGATCTCAATCGACGGAACACCACGGGGCACCACGAGACACCTGTCGATCTCACTTTTTGGGACCACCAAGCTCCGCAACGACTGGACTGTACGTGCCCACAGGATGGCCCCCGAACGTGCCAAACGGCGCAAGAGCACTCGAGGACGGCAAAAGCTGCCTCCAAGAGGCCCCGAGAGGCGCCCAAGAGGCCTCCAAGAAGCCCCAAAAATGCTCCCACTAGGCCCCACAACGAATGGAGTGTACGTGCTCCAAATGTGCACCCCGCGAAGCGAATCCAAATCCGGAAGGTGACGTGCTGAGCGGCAGCGCTTTCCGCGGATGCTGTAATGCAGCGTATCCAAGATATCCAAGTCTAGCATACTTAAGTGCTACATATTGCATTGTGTTACGTTAGCTGCATTCTTATCTCCTCCTTATCCACCCCCCCCAAAGCCACGCCACTTCCGTCGACCCAAAAAGAGGATGACCCCTTCTGGAGTCCAAAGACTAACAAAACCAGGGGGAACAAAAGATCTGGGCCCCTTGGGCCTCTTGGGGGTCCAAGAGGGCCTCAAGACGGCACATGATTGTCTCGAGACGGGCCAGGGCGGACCCAATGAGGCCCAAGACAGCTCCAAGAGGGCCCTAAGAGAGCCCAAAAGGCTTCCAAGACAGCCCCAGAGGGCCCCACGGAGGCTCCCAGGAGCACCTCCACAGGCCGAATACATTGATTTGCCTAATAGTTCTTGCAATATCTTAACACTCTCGCCTTTCCGACTCTCGGGGCCCATGACGGCCCACGCAGCCTCCAAGATGGCCCCAAGACGGCGCCAGAAGCCCCCAAGAAGGCCCCAAGACGGTCCAAGAGGTCCCCAAGACTGCCCAAAGAGGCCCTGACCAAGACGGCCTAAAAAGCCCCCAAAACGCCCCAAGAGGACCCTAAGAGAACCCCAAAGCGGCCGGGAAAGGCCTCCAACACGGCTTCCAGAGATGCCAGACTGCGCAAACAACGCCCCAAGACGGCCTAAGAGGCCCTAAAGAGGCCCCCAGAAGCCCTAAAGAGGCCCCCAAGAGGCCCCCGGGCCACCGAGAAGCCTCCAAGAGGCTCCCAACGGGTTCCCAGGAGGCCCCGCAACGACTGGACTGTACGTGCGCTGGACGTGCACCCTGCGAAGCGAGATGACAAATGCTGTCGCCTCGGCGCCGCACACATCTTCTCGTATTGCCTACCGACTACGTCTGCGGGTGGAGAAACGCATGCATGCATTCCAGCCGTCAAGAACCCGAACCCGTGACACTCTTGTGAACCCTCATCGTTCCAGCGGGCGCTGGCAATTGTTAAAGAGAGTACAGTGCGGGCGCGGCCGCAAGAAACCATCGCAAGAAACCCAACCCTGAGAACTCGTGCGCGAGGTGCACCTGAGGGCAAACCTGGAGCGCCCTGAACGCAGCAGCCCCCCAAACGCCTGCGGGAAGTCACCGCGCAGCGCGAGGAACGGAGACACCCAGGATACCCTGACGAAAAGCAGATGGTTTCTTGATGCGCGCCCCCACTGTAGACTGTGTATCCACGTCTGGAGAAGAGACCCGGGATGGGCGTCTTGCAGCATCAGCAGTACGCGGGGTTCGCTTTGCTCTTCCTCTTTCTCCGAGTTCATGTGAGGTCCCGGATGGAAATGCGAAGTCGATCCAGCTGTGTGACGTCGACAGGCTGCGCGATGATCCGAGAGATGCTTCACATCATTTCGTGGAGTATTTTCGCAGCGAGAGTTTGCGGAAGGCCTGTTGTCAGGCCCAAGTGATGACTTCCGAACTGAGCGAGACTAATTATTTGCCAAAGAAACACACATCATCCAAAGCTACTGCAACCGGAAAATATCGCCATCGTCTAAAGGCATGCGACCGCGAGATCCAGCGGACCCGACTCCGATGTGATCACATGCGGAAGCCCTTCTCGGTGGAGCCCAGGTGGCATCAGAGCTTGTGTACACTATTCCAGTCTGGAATATTGCCTCCCATATTACAACCAGGTATCACGGTGCGCGGCAACACCGTTTCAACACCTTGCCACCCCACGCCTCGACGCTCCAAGAGTGGACCGAGACCAGGCGAACAGACGCACATGACTGTCCCCCTTCTCCCATCCCCGCGCCTTCGGTGCAATGTCCTTGAGTTTGTTCAGGAGCTCCATGATCAGAGGGCCGAACTTCTCCTCGGTCGGGGATGAAGGATGCAGGCGGAGGAAAGGGTGAAGAACTATTCGGGAACTATCGCCCCAAAACCGTGTTTGCACTTATCGGTTCTCACTTGCCTTCTTAGGAACTGACCTGGGAACTGCCCGGGCGGCCCCGCTCCCGTCCGTCGTCGCACCACCTTTCGTAACAGAACTATCCTCAAGTCGGGCGCGTCCCCCTACAGGGGGATTTTCGACGAACAATAGAAACTACTCAAGCCATACTCCCAAATGGTCAAACAAATATAAAAAATCCCCGGCTATTTTTGGACTATTTTGGGATATTCCTCCTGTAGAGGGACAGGCCCGACTAAAAATATCCTGGCGAAGGATCCAACCATGTGCAGTTGTGATACCGTCGTTGTGGGTATCGCCTTCGCTGGACTCCTCATGGGACCACGGAGAGTGAAGGAGGTGCCGAAATGGGGACGGGGCCGCCATGCGGGCGCTGCCACTGGGGCCTTCGGTGGAACTTCCCACGGGGCTACAAAACGTGTGAGGGGTGTGCCGAAACGGGGGTGACGCCCACATGCGAACTACGCCACCTGGACCTCAGCTGATGCTCCCTATGGGGCCACGAAGCGTGTGAGGGATGTGCCGAAAGAGGCGTGACGCCCACATGCGAGCTACGCCACTTGGACCTCAGCTGATGCTCCCTATGGGGCCACGAAGCGTGTGAGGGGTGTGCCGAAACGGGGGTGACGCCCACATGCAAGTTACGCCACCGGGACCTTGGCTGATGCTCCTTCTGGGGCCACGAAGCGTGTGAGGGGTGTACCGAAACGGGCGTGACGCCCACATGCGCCACTGGGACTTTAGTGAAGGTGTTTAGAATCGTGTGCGGGTTCGCCATGCGGACTGTACCACCAGGGCTTTCGGTGGAGCTCCCTATGCGCCGAAAAAGGGGTGACGCCGAAAAAGGGGTGACGCCCGCATGCGAACTGTGCCACTGGGGCCTCATGTGGATCTCCCCGTGGGGCCACGCAACGTGCGAAGGGTGTACCGAAACGGACGTGACGCCCACATGCGAGCTGTGCCACTGGGGCCTGAGGTGGAGGTCTCTATGGAGCCAGGAAGAGTGTGAGGGGTGTGCCGAAAGGGGGTGACGCCCACATGCAAACGACGCCACTGAGACCTTAGCTGGAGATGCCCATGGAGCAACGAAGCGTGTGAGGGGTGTGCCGAAAAGAGGCTGCGAGCTATGCAGCGGGGGCCTCAGGTGGAGCTCCCTATGAGGCCACGAAGCTTATGAGGGGTGTACCGAAACGGGGATGGCGCCCACATGCAAACTGCGCCACTGGGGCCTTAGGAGGAGATCCCTATGGAGCCAGGAAGCGTGTGAGAGGTGTGCCGAAAGGGGGTGACGCCCACATGCAAACTGAGTCGAAAACGCACTGGTAAGCCAGGATATATGTTCCGCGCTAGGCGCTCCCATATCCCAGGCTTTGTCTCATATCGCATGAGCAAGAGAGCAAGACGAAGCATGGGATCTGGAGTAAAGGATAGAAGGGGCATCGTCAATAGAAAAGTCTTTTCCGATCTCAGATGCAAGTAGTGCGCCTCAATGAGGCACAATCACATGTTCGGCCGGGCCCGGCTTGAGCCAGGCACGGCAGCGGTGCATGCTCGATATACATCTCGCCTTTAACCCTCTCCGTTTAAAGTTGGAGGGGGAGGAGACGAGCAAGCACCGCACTTCTTCATTACGCGGAAAAACAGTGCTAGGCAACAGCGGCTGCCTACAAGGCAAGGGCGCGCGAGTAGCCTCGCTACCGGCGAGTTTCCTCGCTACTAGAGCGCACCTGCATGCGGGTTTCCCCGCTAGCTCGGGAGGCAGGGCCGTCCTGAGACGACCTGCCCGCCCTATACGGAGTATGTTTCTTCAGCTCGTGCTTGAAGGATTGCTGGCCGGCCATTACCTGTAGGAGCAACGCGCGGTCAATACTACCTTTGGTATGACCATCGGCAGTCATATCCCGCGTGTCACACCATTGGGCGCTTTCAACGATTCCGCGTTCCATCATCTGGCGGATCCAGCTAATGTGCCCAAGCAGAGTGCATTCTGTGGGCTTCTTCAGATCTTTGTTAGACAAAGACTTGAAGACAGACTCGGCATCAATAGTCAAAGTGACTTTGATACATAGACCACCCATTTCCAATATGTTCTTTAACTGTGTGGGGGTCAATGGTCCCGAGTGTAGCTCGTGGAGCGTTACAATGGTCGGGTAGCAGTCTTCCAAGTTGTGGGCTGCTGCCAGTGTTTCCGCAGAGTAGCTCGAACGCACCTGCAGTCGATGAGACTTGCAGTATGCGTCCACCAGGTGCACGACGGGTTTCCCCGCTTGCGTGTGGCCACGCCTCAGCAGGTTAGCCCCGCGGATACCGTAGCCTTTGACTTCGTCGTCTTCATCTCCGTTGAGACGACGATAGCCAGACTCGCTATGCAGGTCGACCTCTCCTGTTGGAGTCATAGCTTGATACGCGATCTTCTTCGGACCTGCCTGCAATTTCCTGGTAACCGCGTTCAGTCGTCGTACCTGGATGTTTGTCGGTTCCTGGATACGTTGTAGTGAGACAACATAGACCATCAGCCATACCTGCGTGATCAACGCATAGGCTAGAGCGCCACGAAGACTGACGAACATATCAGAAATCGTCTTTGTCGCTTTGCTCTCAGGATCAGCGCCTGTGAGTTCTGGATGTGTGATAGGACGAAGCTGTTTGATGTATTCGTCCTGATCAAGAGTGACGCTCCCATCATCGGTCTTGTTGTACCGAACGGCACAGTTTGTGTATGTGTGCTTGTTCAGTTTGCACTTTCCAAACGTATCTTCAACACACTTGACATACTTGTCAATAGCATCTTCCTTCCCAGTCATATTGATGTCATCAACGTGTTTGGCTGTCAAGAGGTTTGAGCTCATCTCGAACTCTTCGTCGTATGAAGTAGGCTGTAGTCCAAAGCTCCTAGTGATGGACCTGAGCTTCAACGAGAATGCCCTGGGAGCATCCTTCGTGCCCGTCCCCGGCTTCAGACACCGAAGACAATGCTTTGATTCGTCATATGACTCAAAGCCTGGCAGTGTGCGAAGGACAGCTGCTGACCCAGGAGGTAGTGTGAAGCACACCACACGCTCTTTCTCGCCCGTTGCCGCGGCGAGCTCGCTATAGGTCAGTCCCTTCAAGAAAGCCATGTTGATGTCCAGGGAAGCGATGATCCAAGCTTTGTTGCATGCAGCAGAACTTGCGAGCAGTCTCTGGTTTGACCTCCTTGCCGTGCCAGAGAAGGTTTCGACATCGAAGGCTTCAATGTCCATGAAGCCACGGAGTACCAAGCGTAACCTGATCGTCCGTTCCATTTCGCCCTTCTCGTTCTTGACAAATTTCCATTTGTATACGTAGCGTGAAGTCATGATGTTCGACGCTTTGCTCAAGTCAGTCATCTGGAAGCATTGGTTGTCAAGCCAAGTCTTCAATTCTCTGTAAAGGGCTTTAGAAACTTTGACCGGATTCGCTTGAATGTCGGCCTTCGTGAATAGATCGTCTTCCTTGACGACCGCGGCGCGTTTGGAGGCAGCACTAACATATACTCGCATAGTTGTGACGCTGCTGTCATCCAACAATCGGCGTTGCTGCTCGGACAGGACGACTTTGGACATGTCTGCTGTGAAGCAAAGCTCGATGTACTTCCCGTGCTCGTCGGAATCCAGATCATATTGGCTGTCCGGATCCGTGGAGCACAAAGGAACGTAGTAAGAAGTGTCCATGTCGTATCCTGGCGGGTGACCCCGCGCCGGCAAGTGGCCTTGCACATCTTCACAGGTCGTAGAGACCAACACGCACTGTGAGTCTGTCATGTATGTCGGAACTGTATGCATGACTTCTTCTGTGTCAGCTTCAAGGAGTGTTCTGTCATCCATCAGTTCAGCATACCACGACTTCAAGACAAAGACATCCAGATCTTCTTCTGTTTCCTCTATGATGGTCGGGAGCCGACCATCATTCTCCGCAGGAGGCTGCTCAGGAGCAGCTGCTGGAGGTGGCTCGCTTGGTGGTGGACCATCAGCGAGTTCCTCAAACTTAGTGAGGTCTCGGTCGAATCCAGCAGGCGGCTTCTTGGATTTAAGACACTGGATGATGCGTGAGTGTGTAGATCCTGTGATGTCGTAGATGTTCAAGGCAGTGCCATCAGCTTCATAATAATGAAAGCCAGGGGTCACATCGTTATCATAGTGCACTAGTGTACAGCTGTCTGCATAGGGTGCAGCAGGCAACTTAGTCAGGCTCTTAGCAAGTCGTACAGCAACCACGTTTTCAATGCGAAAATAATTGCGAATGAGATACTGAAGAGCCAAGTGCACCTTAGGCGAAAGCCGGCTCGCAGCAGTCATCTGCAGCCGGCCCTGTTTCGCTGGTAGGTATCCGAAAGTCATGGCGGGTTTCCCCGCTGGCAGACCGGCAATAAAGGCCAATACTGTCCGAAGGGCCGTATTGTCCGATCCTATCTCGCGGACCATCAGTGCTTCGATGTACAGCGTATGTCGTGTGTCAGGATACTGTACTCGCACTTCGCGACTGCCGACCTTCACGATGACCTGGCCTCGGTCAGGTTCGTTGCGGATGACCGGGTATGGACCACTCCATCCACCCCAGTCGTCTTTCGTGGTGGTCGGGCGATGATAGTCCACGAGATCTCCCTCTTTGTAGTGAAATTCACCCGTAGCAGTAGTCTTCGTACGGAGAGCCCTGTTCGTCTTGGCAACCGCAGTGGCCTGCGTGATTGCCTCCAGACTAACCCTCCTGATTGTCTCCTCCCTTGAGTGATCTGATGATTCAGCGGACTGATCATGATCCAAGACAGGGAAATCGGGAAGCATAGCTGGTTGTCTGCCATACAGCGCATTATACGGAGAAACTTCGTTGTAGAAGGTAAATGCGTTGCTGGCAAACAAGGCTTCATGTAAAAGACGAGT